TGCTGTAAAGTGGCATAAAGAAATCTTGAAAACACAATCCTGTGTTTTTTATTCTTGCCTTGTATTAATTTTTAGAATTTTTTCAGGAATAACACAGTACCAATGTGAAGTCATTCTCACTGAGTTTGTTGTTTTTAATTGGGCTTTCCTTTATGAATTATAAGTTGAAACTTTGGAGTCCCTTTTATCTTAGTCATGCTTAAAAGGATATCATATTTTGCTAAAATAATTTGTCTTTTTTCCCTATTGTTTTTCTTCCTGCTATTACCATGGCTAAGTTATTTGAAAGATATTTCAATTGTTAAGTATGGAAATAATCCTTGACCCTGCTTGAGGGTTCTCTCCTCTTTCCAGGTTCTGTTGATAGTCTTGCAGCGTTAGAGTTTCAGGATAAATGTGTCCTCTTTCTAAGGTTTTGTTGTAGATTGTTTTACTGTTCTGAGTTGAAGGGACGTGAAATTATTCAGGTTCCAATTAAAAGAATTAAATTTAATGCTCAAGAGGTAGATATAGATGTTTTCCATGGAATATATGTATGCACTTTAGAATATAAATCATACTCCAAATCTGGTATTTTAGGGGACAGCAAATCAGATTTTGTCTTTAATAATGATTTTCAGGAAGTGTGGTTCTTATCTAGTTTATCAGTTTCAACTAGGAAGATTACGTTAGCAATTTTTTAAAACTTTCCTATAGAAGTATGTGAAAAATATTTGGATTATGTTACCTTTAAGTTAATCAAGAAAGGCTTGATTACCAAGTATCTGAACCAACTCAGTAATGACTTGGTAATTATCTTAAAATGAAATGCAGGTTTTTGAGATGGCAGCTTTCCCTATGTTTTATGATACCTAGATGATAAAATCACATTTATTTAATACTAAGTCATAAATATATATGGCTTATAAATCTTAAAAATGTAGGTTATGCCACTAATGAAAACATTCTGGAGACTGTAGGGAAAGATTTTTTATTTGTGGTAATATAACCTCAGATCAACTTTTTCCTTAATTCACAGTATTCTTTGGAGCAAATTTTGAGTCAAAATTAGAATTTTCAGTATATGCTTTATAATCTCCCATTTTTGTTACTTGGTTAATTTAATTTTGTTAATGAAATTCAAATATCAAAAAAGGTATTGTTTCTTTGTTACTTGAAAAAAAGTTTATTGTTTAAATTCATAAACTTTTTCATTACTTTAATTTGACAATCTCTACATAGTTGATTAGGGCACAAAGGGTCAAGGGCTACAGGAAAGTGGATGAGACCATTGTTTCCACATTGTTGCTTCTTCTTCTTTTTTTTTTTTAATCTGGGTTAAAAGGGAAGATAAAGGGAGAAGCACCACCCAGCCTCCCTCCCATCCCAAGTCCCCAATGGGGGGCATGCTGCGAGAGTCCTGCTTAAGTAGTTTTGATAGTTCAATAGTTCTGAATTGTTGCCAATCTTGCCATTCCAAGTACAATGAAATCTCTCCAGAATCCACTGGCTGGCATAGTTCACTTTAGAGTTTCCATTTGCCCAGAATTTCTCTGCCAACACATGGTTGCAGTAGTTGATTGATCTGTTCTGTCCTATGTCCTCTGTTGTGGTGCCGGGTGTCCTCTGCAGGTTCCGATGGACTGCCATATCCTCCATGCACACCTGGATATGCTGTCCACTGCTCCATCTGAGCCTCTGAGGAGGCTCAGCTTTGTCACTTGCACTCCATGGTCAGACCGTGGAGCCTGCAATTCTCTTCATGGTTGGGGTTCTGAGTGACAGTTCAACTGGGGAGATTCCCAAAGAAACTTTGTCTGAGGTGATCCCAGACCAGATTCTGTGTGTGCTTGCCAGTACAGGGTCTGGCACAGTCCGTCGCCCCATCAGCTTATGCACATGCTGGGCCTTGCAATTGTTGGGTCAGTTCTGTTTCCAGCCCTGTCTTCCACATGAACCAATGGGTGTTGCAGTCCGTCCTGATTCTGCCCAGCACACAATTGGCCCTTACGCAAACTAGTTGGAGCAACCTTCAATAACACCCACCAGGCCTGCCCCCTGCCCTGGTTCAGTCTTGTAGACTTGTTCAGTCTGTCCCACACCCCATTCAGCTCTCTTACATGTCAATGAGCATTGAAACCTAGTTCAGTCCAACGAGGCCCTCTATCCAGCTCACACACATGCTGGCGGGTGCCATTCTGTCCAACCACTCCTGACTCCTTCCTGGCTTTCTTGCTTTCCAGTGGAAGTGATAACCCAAGAGGGAGGTGCCCACTATTTCTCTCCTGGGCCTATTCCTGGATCATAAATTCTTAAACTTTGACTTGTCATACTGATATTCTCCCTTGGGTTGATATTTTTCATGAGACTTTTGAGAAAAAGAATATTATTGCAATCTGTATTATTTTCTGGAGAATCATTTACTTGGTATATCATCTGCAACTTTTGTTTATAAGATTTTTTCCCCCACCTGTAACGTGTCTGTGATGTCACTGTGTAGAGTGCAAGTTGGAAATTCCACTGTAGAAACATATAAGTGAAATTCAATTTCAAGAAATAGAATTGGTTTTTGGATTATCTGGAACTACAATCTGTTGACAGAAAATCAAGGTCATCTAGTTTCTTCCTTTGGAAAAATTCTGATTTAATTTCACAAGTTGTGGCTTTGCTACTTTGCTCTGCTATGTTGGTAATTTAGTTTCTATATGCTGTGACCCAAAGAAATTTAATTGTCCCTGATTTGCTTCCTTCTAAGTTCTTTGAAGTTATGTATCAGTGCAATAATCTCTTCTAGAAAGGAGACTCTTTGTGCCTGAGTGTCTTGCTTAATAGGAAATAAATTATCATCAAAGATGATAAGTAGATAGATTAGAAATATATAGTTTTAGATTTATACCTAAACAGTTTTGGAGGTGTTAGAATTATTCATGTTAAATATTTCTTTTTCCAGTTTTGGTTTTTTTTTTTTTTTTTTGGTTTACACTAATGAAAAATATAAATAATTTTGCCTATTGGCATTGTGTTTGCTGTTTTATCGAACTCATTAGTTCTAGTAGTGTTTTTATAATTTTCTATGTAGGAAATCATACCATCTATGCATGAAGGCAAATTATACTTTTTTAAATTCTGTATTCCTTTTGTTGTTGTTGTTGTTGACCTGTTGCACTGACTAGGAGCTCCAATATGACAATTTAAGGCAAAAGATACGATGCCTTACTTCATTTTCTTTTTAGGAAAAAAGTATTCAGTCTTTCATTGTTAATTATGATCTGAACTGTAGGCTTTTGTGCATGCAGATACTTCTAAGATTTTTCCCTCTTTTTTTTTTAATATGTTGATTTTTTTTATACTGTGAATGGATATTGAATTTTGTCAAATGCTTTTTTCTATATCTATTGAGAAAACATTTTTTTTCCTTTTCATGCATTTTAAAAAGTATTGAATTAATGGGGGTGGCTTTGCAGTACAGAGAGCTAAGCTGCTGTTTGCAGTGCTGGTTATGCATATGCTAGCACCAGTTCAAGGCCAGGCTGTTGCGTTCCCAGTCGGCTCTACCAATGTGTCTGAAAAGGCTGCAGACAATGGCCCAAGTGCTTGGATACTTGCCACCATGTGGAGTGTTGGCATCTGCCTTTGGTTTAAATGAATCTTAACTGTTGTGCCCATTTGGGGATGGATAGAACTTTCTCTCTCTCTCTCTCCCCCATTCCCCACCCCCTTCTTTGGAATAGATAAATGTTGACCTGTTTTGCATTCATGAAATAAGCCACATTTATTTAAAAAACAGAATTTGACAAGGTATTGTCATGATTGTGATAACCTAAATCCTTGGAATGCTTTGAAAAATCATGACCTATTCATTTGTCTTCTAATTTAATCGATACAAACATGATGGCTGCTCTGCATTAGGCAGTATTTAATGCTGGATATCAGAACATTCGATAACTTGTGGAGTTGTTGCTTCTCCTGGAATGTCAGGTGATAACAAAGACGAATGATTAAACAGTGTTAGGAAAGGAAGAATCGTGAATAAGGCACTGAAGTTATGTTGAATATACTTGTTAAGGGAAGATTCTCTGCTGTGGTGACTTTACAGCACGTCGAGGGAGCGTGCCATCCTATTTGTAGAAAATTGTTGAAGGCCAAGGGAATAGCAAGCATAGACTGCAATAGGGGACTTGTTTGGTGTGTTTCAAGAAAAACCACAAGACGTAGTATATCTAAATCATGCAATATCACATGGAAAAAAGCCACAGAAGGTGAGCTAGTCAGGAAGCTGACTGTAGACTATCATAAGAAAGCCTTGTATTTTATTCTAAGAACTGTGGTAATTACTCATTTACTCACCAGGCACCTATTTAGCACTTGCTATGTGTCAAATACTCTTTCATTTGGGGAATAGAACAATCAAAAATATAAGCCTTCATAGAGCTTAAAAGTGTTAGTGGTAAGTGTAGCTGTTCAATGATGTTAGTCAAAGTGGTAATTTAGAATATTCAATCAGGAAATACTGTTTTGCACAATTACCACATATCTAATCAGAATCAATTTACTTGCTTTATGTATGATGAGTCTCATTTAACTGCTATAGGAGACATCTATTTTCATGAGTTTCTTCCAGTTGCAAACTAGAGTCATGCCAGCCAGGATGATTTACAGGTGTACAGAGTACAGAAGGTCTTCATGGGGCCCAGTGGCATGGCCTGGCAGCTAAAGTCCTCGCCTTGAATGCACCAGGATCCCATATGGGTGCCAGTTCTAGTCCCGGAAGCTACACTTCCCATCCAGCTCCCTGCTTGTGGCCTGGGAAAGCAGTAGAGGAGGCCCAGGGCTTTGGGACCCTGCACCAGTGTGGGAGACCAGGAAGAGGTTCCTGGTTCCTGGCTTCGGATCGGTGCAGTGCCGGCCATTGGGCTCACTTGGGGAGTGAATGATCGGACGAAGAATCTTCCTCTCTGTCTCTCCTCCTCTCTGTATATCTGACTTTGCAATAAAAATAAATAAATCTTAAAAAAAAAAAAAGAAGGTCTTCATGGAAATTCTAGAGTAGAAGGCATGATAGAGCTGTATCTCCCAGGCACTGGAGTTTGAACATTCTTCATATTGAAGTTGATTTATTTCCTATTACTGTATAACAGGTTATATTAAAATTAAGTTTCTTAAAATCTATTTTATGTCATAGATTCTGGGGTTAAGAATGGCTTGGCTAACTGCCTCTGTTTTTAGGGTTTGTCGCAAAGCTGAAATCAAGGTGCTGGCCAGGGTGACAGTGATCTCAAGGCTTTCCTGGGGAAAGATGTGCCACTAGATTACTGATATGGCTGTTGGACCTGAAAGCTATTGTTGTTGGCCAGTGGCATCATTTCTTTGCTGTGTGTGTCATCCAATTCACAACATGGCAGTAGGCTTCCCTTAGTGAAAGGGGTGACAAGATAATGGCAGGTCTCTGTAACCTAATCTTAGTAGACACATCCATCTCCTCTACTATAACCTCTACATTGTCACTGTCATTAAATCCAATTTCACACTCAAGAGGAGTGCATTACACATGGGGTATGAGTACAAAGAGTTGGTAATTGTTAGGGTCATATTTGGGGGCTATGTTTTTTCTTATGATTTATTTCTTTGAGGGAGAGAATGAATAAATCAATCTTCAATCTTCTAGTTTGCTCATGAAATGGCTACACTAGCCAAGGTTGGGATAACTGAAAATCTGGAGTGTAGCCCTCCATGTGGATTTCCCATTTAAGTGCCAGGAGTGTAAGTACTTGGGCTACCCTTGGCCTTCCCAGGTGTACCTGTAGGGAGTTGTGTGGGAAGAGGAGCAGCAGCTGGGAATGAAACTGGTGGATTAAACTTCTGTGGCACAATGCTGGTCCCAGAAGACTGCTTTTCATGTTAATTAAGCCCTAGAGATCTCACCCTTGTTTTAGTGTCTATGTTTTGTTGTGGTTTTGGTCTTTGCATTTCCATCCCATCTCTTTCTATTATCAACTGTGTATCTTCCTCTGTATATCTTCTCTCTACTTATTTTTAGTATTCCTTCTTTATCCAGGATCTGTGATAAGGCTCTTTACCTTGTATTATTTTACCTTCTAATCTGCCAGTTGTTACTTTGACTGTATCCATAACACCCTGTTCACACGTTTAAGCGGGAGTAGTTGCTGTGTGGAGACACTGTAATATCTTTCGAATATTACTAATAGCATCAGCAAGGGCAGTGATTAAGGCAGTTCTCCTTAGAGAGCAATATAGATGCTAAATACTATCGTAGCTCTTTGTAGATTAGAAAGTGTGAATCATTAAGTTGATCAAATAATTACTTGAATCTTGGAGAAAAATCTTAATGCTAATTTTATTTTTGTATTTCACTGTAATAGTGTGACAAGTGATAAGAATCTGTTCTTTGTTATCTTCCTGCTTTTGCTTATTTTTGGTTTGGAATAAATAGGAATCTACTATATATAGGTTTATTGCATTTTAGAAACTTTATTTGAAAGGCAATGAGAAAGTAACAAAGAGAGATTAGTCATCTGTTTCACTGCCCAAATGTCTGTGACAGCCAGAGCTGGACCAGAGAAACTGGCAATCAGAAACTCAATCCAGGTCTCCCACATGGGTAACAGGGGCCCAACAAGTTGAGTTATCATTGTTATCTCCCAGGGTACACACTGGCATGAAGCTGGAATTGGAAGCAGAGGTAGAACTCTATCCCAGGCACTCTGGTCCAGGACATGAGAATCCCAAGCCCCGTGTTACTGCTGTGTCAGGAACTCTCCGCAACACCTCCCCACTTTTGGCCTATTTTTGAGATATTATATGAAAGTATAAATTTTCATGTATATAAGATTTGATGGGAGAATTATAAGAAATATCTACGTATTTTGACACCAAACCATGAAATGTCTATAAAAATACCTGTATTTTTATCTCTCAGAATGAGCAGTCATTAACATTTGTGCATTTAGTGTTCCCACCTCCCCCAAGTAGCAAAGTTTATAGTTCAAATGCAAATCCTTTTACATCATTACACTTAGTTGGTTTCATGGAATTTACTTAAGTTTATTTTTAACAAATTTTGTGGTTGTATTTTCACTTTTTACTCTTGTCAACATGTTTGCATGCAGGATATTAAAGATTTTTGGTTTGTGTTATTTCGTCCCATTCTCTCTCTCTCTCTCTCTCTCTCTATATATATATATATATGATATACACACACATGCGTAGTTTATGATGTTCTTTTATCTTTTGAGATTTATATTGATAGTTTTTTTTTTCAAATGACAGAATAGTATTCTAGCATGTTTTGCTACGCATTCTCTTAACGGTAGAAATCTGTAGTGTTTTGAAGCAGTGTTTTTGCTTTTCTAAACATTGCTTGTTTAATTGTGCATGTTGACTGAATCAATTTATGGGCTCAGTAAATGTAAGAAATTTTGGTTTTACCTACTCATGATAAATGATGTTTTCAGACATAAAATATTTTTGTCAATTTACTGGTTACAAACTAAGCTCTTGATTTGTTGATTTATATTTCCCTTATTACTGGTGTGATGGAGTATATTTTTCAGATCATTTGAATTTCATCTTTGAATTCTCTGGTTTTCTACTCTGTCAGTTTAGAGGAATTTTTATGTATTCTGAATACTGATGTTTGTCATATATGCTACAGTTACCTTCTCCTAATCTATTGCTTGCTTTTAACCATGTTTGTGATTTTTGCTATTATGTAGAAATGAATTGAACATTTTTAAAAATTGTTGTTAATATTTGGAAAAAAGTCCAGGCTGAAGGAAGCAGCATTGCAGCTAGCATTTGGAACACACAACATGAAGGTGTGGCCATTTAAGTGATTATCAACTATCATATATGTTGAAACAAATTTCTGAACTTCATAGTTCTGAGGACTAGATGCTTTTAAAGTCTTGTTATTGTAACTTTTGTAAAAATGTCTCACTACTCAGACTCATATATTTTAGTATCACAGATTATTGTTTCCTGCAAATTAGAATATATGCTTTGACATTTTTCTTTTGATAAAATATATTATTGGCATAGTTGGCAGGGGATGTATGCCATTGTGAGTCTCTGTTTAGGGTGGAGATGGTCAGGATATGAAGGAAGGTGGGTGGGAGCCACTCCTTGCTGTCAACTTATAGTCATTTGCTGATGCTTAAGACACTCCAATATGGGGAAGAATATTCCAAAGGTTTTATCTGTTTGTTTTTTGATGGTTTTGAGATTTCATTGCACTGGGGTTCAGAAAATCCTTCTAAGGTCGATTGGCTAACCAAGACCATCTTAGTGCATCCAGAGGCTTAGGAACATGTTGCAAAGCTTGGCAGGAAAGTGGTCCAACCTGTTCTGCTTTCCATCCTCTAGGAGACAATGGATGTCCCCTGCTGGCTGTCATGTCATAGGTCTATCTGGACCTGCTGTCCTCTGCACAGGCAACAGCAACTGAGGAGGCTCAGTACTGACACATGCACTGAGGCTGGACCACATATCCTGTGATTTTTCTCTGTGGTTAGGGTTTGAATCCAGCCATCAAATTGGGGAATCCCCCAAGAAACCTCACTTGGGGTCACCACAGACTTGACTCTCATGTATACCAGCCATGGCAGGGTCAGTTATGGTTCATCACCTGCACCAGCTGATGCACATACTGGTAGACAAAGCTGCCTGATCAGCTCCACTCCCAGCCCTGGCTCTCATGCTCACCATGGGAGCTGTAACCCAGCAGGGAAGTGCTCACAGTTCCCCTACCAAGCCTGTTCCCATCCACAGATTTTGCATTTGCTGGGGACACTGTAGTTCAGCCTGACTTGCAGTATTGAAGTTAATCTTTAGTGGTAATCTGGTAGAGTATTTTCCAGAGATAACATCTTCTGTAATAAATGAAAACTGATGAATATTTGTGAAAAAGAAAAAAACATTTTCAGGACAAATTACATGTATTGTAGGTTAGACATGTTTTCGTTGATACTTAACAAAACTATTTGAAAGGCAGAGTCACACAGAGAGAATGAGACAGTCTTTCATCTGCAGGTTATTTCCCAAGTAGCTGCAAGGTCCAGGCTAGGGCAGAACAATACTTACCAGGAGACAGGACTATCATCCCTGGAGCCAGTAGCTTCACCCATCTTCACATGGGTACAGGAGCCCAAATACTTGAGTTATCATCTAGGTCAGAGTGGAGAGGTTGGGACACCAGCCCATATGAGTTGCTTGCATTGCAGGAAGCAGCATAACCTGATACACCACAATGAAGGTCTCTTGTTGTCATGTTTCTAGTAACTATGAAGTGGTATTTTTTGTTTTTAGTTAGTCTCATATCTTTCTCACATATATTCAGTATTCACTTGATTCTTATTAATACTGTCCAGCTTGTGAAGATTACATTTAGAAATGGAAATTAAGAGCAATTTATTATATTTTACAAAAATAAATAATTCTTTTATTTATTTTTTTAAAGATTTATTTTTGTTATTTTTTTTATTGGAAAGGTGGATATACAGAGAGGAGAGAAAGAGAGAAAGATCTTCCATCCGATGATTCACTCCCCAAGTGACCACAACGGCCAATGCTATGTCAATCCGAAGCCAGGAGCCTCTTTGGGGTCTCCCACGCAGGTGCAGGGTCCCAAGGCTCTGGGCTGTCCTCGACTGCCCTCCCGGGCCACAGGCAGGGAGCTGGAAGGGAAGCGGGGCTGCTGGGATAGAACCGGCACTCATATGGGATCCTGGGTGTGCAAGGCGAGGACCTTAACCACTTGTGCCACTGCGCCGGGCCCAATAATTCTTTTTTTTAAAAGATTTTTTATTGGAAAGTCAGATATACAGAGAGGAGGAGAGACAGAGAGGAAGATTTTCCATTCATCGATTCACTCCCCAAGTGACTGCAATGGGCAGAACTGAGCTGATCTGGAGCCAGGAACCAAGAGTTTCTTCTGAGTCTCCCACACAGGTGCAGGGTCCCAAGGCTCTGGACTGTCCTCAACTGCTTTCCCAGGCCACAAGCAGGGAGCTGGAAAGCAAGGCCACCTGGATTAGAACCAGCGCCCATATGGGATCTCGGCATGTTCAAGGCGAGGACTTTACCTGCTAGACTACTGTGCTGGGCCCATAATTCTCTCTCTCTCTTTTAAAATTATTTTCATTGTAAAGACAGATTTATAGAGAGAAGGAGAGACAAAGATATTCCACTTGCTGAGTCACTCCCCAAATCGCTGCAACAGCTGAAGCTGAGCAAATCCAAAGCCAGGAGCCGGAGCTGGGATCTTCTTCCAGCTCTCCAAACTGGAGTGCAAAATCCAAGGATCTTGGCCAGCCATCTGCTGTTTTCCCAGGCCACAAGCAGGGAGCTGGATGGGAAGTGAAGCAGCTGGGACACACATTTGGGATATTATGGTTGGAGATGGAGGATTAGCCATTTGAGCCATTGCCCTGCCCCCAAAATAAATTAATTTTTAAATAAAAAATAAGAGATTTACTTACAGTTTTCAGGGTGATTACCTCATTTCAGGTTTGAATTTTTTTCCATCTTGGCATTATTAGCATTGTTTAAAAAAGCTATTCTGAGGGGGCAGCAACAATGGCTCACTGGCTAATCCTCTATCTGCAAGTGCTGACATCCCATACAGGTGCTAGTCCATGTCCCAGCTGCTCAACTTCTGATCCAATTCCCTGCTCATGACCTATGGAAGCAGTGAGGGATGGCCAAAGCCTTGGGACTCTGCACTCACATGGGAAACCTGGAGGAAGTTCCTGGCTCTTGGTTAGGGATTGATACAGCTCAGGCTGTTACAGCAATTTCAAGAATGAACCAGCAGATGGAAGATCTTTATCTCCTCTCTATTAATCTGCCTTTCCAACAAAAATAATTCTTTTTTTAGAAATTGTATTCTCAGACAGGATTATCTCCAGCCCTTGCCATCATTCTAACCCTCGTGCTGATACTAGCTCTAGCCCCAATCCTAAAAGTGATCCTAGCCCTAAACCCAACTAAATCCGTTTTCCCAACATTGACTCAACCCTGACACAGATTTAGCCATCACTGTAATACTAAGCCTAGACCTAATACTGAACACAATCCGAGCGACATTTCTAAACCTATGCCGGAATGCTAACTTGAATCATCACCCTCATTATAACACTAAATCCAAATCCAACTGGAGCCAGAATCTTAGTCATAAACCTAACACTAGATTTTGACCTAACCTTAATCCTAGAAGAACTTTAGCACTAGCATTAGCCCACACCCTAACATTAACTCTAGCTCTAAGCATAATAATTCTAGCATTGACTCTAACCTCACTATAATACTCAAATTAACATAAAAAGCTTCTTAATCCTAAATGTAGCCACAGTTTTAATCCTAACATTAATTGTAACCCTAACTCTAAAAAAAGTTTTTTTTAAAAAAAGAAATTGTATTTTGAGATATAATTACATCTACAAATATTCTCTAAAAACTTATACTGTGCTAGATAACGTGCAACTCTAGTTGGAGTTTTGGATATTAGACTCACAGTTCAAGTGAAACGCAGCTTAATCCCTGTTGAGATGATATTAGAGTTTGGCAGATAAAAGAGGAGTATGGGTTTAATACATATTTTAAATATTACATGAAAAATATTTGTCCTTTGTAATCATTAAGCTTGTTTGTAGAGACTGATCATTTGTGTTTACATTGTTTTAGGTTTCCAATAATTATCTGCAAGAATCGCCATGACCCCAGCTTTGAGGGAGGCAACAGCAAAGGGTATCTGCTTTTCATCTTTGCCAAGCGCCATGGAATCTGACAAGATGCTATTCATGGAAAGTCCAAGAACTGTAGATGAAAAGCTAAAGGGAGACACTTTCTCCCAGATGCTAGGATTTCCCACTTCTGAAGCCACTGTTAATACTAATTTTGTAAATTTCAAACATTTTGGCTCCCCTCAGTCTTCAAAACATTATCAAACACTGATTTTAATGAGTTCTAATTCTGCACTAAATAAATACAATGAGAATTACAACCAAAGGCCACCGGGGGAGCCCAATTGCAGTAAGCTGAAAAACATATTGTGTAACGGCAGCAACATTCAGTTAAGTAAAATCTGTCGTTCTCACTCTGAAGAATTCATCAGAAAGGAACCTCTATCAGACACCACAAGTCAGTGCATGAAAGACATTATTTTGGACTCAAATAAAACCAAAGATGCTAATGTAGATAAAGTACAACTGCAAAACTGTAAATGGTACCAAAAGAATGCACTTTCGGATAAGCTGAGTGATATTGACATTAAAAAGGGTTTATCGCCATGTGCTCAAAAGAAAAATGGACCTGACCACTCAGCTGTTCCCATTAGTTCCACAGCTGCTGAAAAAGAGGAGGAAGTGAATGCTCGGTTACTTCATTGTGTAAGCAAACAGAAAATTTTACTTAACCAGGCTAGAAGAACTCAGAAACATTTACAGATGCTCCTGGCAAAACATGTTGTTAAGCACTATGGTCAGCAAATGCAATTTTCAGTGAAACATCATTTCCCCAACATGAAGATCTTTCATGAACCTACCGCAGTTATGGATAGTACTTTTCCTAAATGCACTGACGTTAAGCCAGAAGTTAACATATGCACTCCAGAGAATAAATTGTGGAATGATACAAAACATGGCTCTGCACAGTGTACAGCTGCAGAAATCCAAAGATTTGCGCTGTCTGCTACAGGGTTGTTGTCGCATGTTGAAGAGGGACTGGATTCTGATGCTACTGATAGCAGCTCTGATGACGATTTGGATGAATATACCGTTAGAAAAAATGTGGCAGTGTAAGTGCAAAATTATTATTAGACTTTTTTGTTATGTATATAGAAGCTATTGCCTCTTTTCAAGGTATGTTAAAAAGAAATGGATTATCTAAAATCTTAACGCCATGATCTTTAAGTTATAAAACTTTGGTAAAATTTTTTAATGTTTTACTTGCTAAATATTATGTATGAGTGGATACAGTGATCCCTCAGTATCCACTAAGGATTGATTCTAGTCCTGCCCGTCCTGTCTTGTTTACCCAAATCCCGGCTCTCACATCCTTGACATGAAATGACATAGTGTTGGCATATAGCCTACACACAATATCTGGTAAACTTTGTATCTATTCTTAGTTATAATACCTAAGACAGTACAAATGTATTAATATTATAGAGTGTTGTCTAGGGAATAGGGACAGGCAAAAAAAAGTCTGTACATGTTCAATATAGGCACGATTTTTAAAAGATACTTTGTTTCCCTTCCCACTCTGTCTGAGTTTAAGGAACTGTATCATGAAAAACACGGAATTTAAACAGCAAACAACAACAAATCAGACTAAAGTTTTAGAATATTGTTATAATGACATTAATTCTATTACTCTTTTGGAAAAAACTTGTCAACTAACTTTAGTAAACTGTTTCAGAGAAAAAGATATTTTATTAAAATTTTTCATTTATTTTTATTTTATTTAAAAGAAAGAGATTTTCTAACTCCTGATTCACCCCCCCAATTACTTGAATAGCCAGAGGTGGGCCGCCCTGAAGCCAGGAACCTGAAAGGTCATGTGAGTGTTGCATTGATGGTAGGAATCCTAAGTACTTGAGAGCCATCATTGCTGCCTCCTAGGATACACATATTATCAGGAAGCTTAATTCAAAGTGGAGGAACCAGGCCTCCAAATGAGGCATGCCCGTTTAGGATGTGGGGCATCCTGAACCATGACTTACCTACTAAACCAAATGCCCAAGCCCCCCCCCTTTTTTTAAATTATTATTTTAAATCTGTGGTCGGTTGATTCCATGAATAGAATCTGTGGATATGGAGAACTGACTATATGCACTTTTGAAAAAAAAAAAAGTACTCTATTGCTCTATGTAAGAACCTCATATAGGAATAATAAAACCAAGTAGTTGTAAGTAAGCATTCTTCTCCAATGTTTGCATAGAATTTAAAATCTTCATTAACTTTCAGAGTTTATAAATTGAAAATACATGTAAGTTGAATTGCTACTTACAGAAATATTTATGTACTCATTATATCCATAACTTTATGGTATAGCCTATACTAATCCAGTATATTTTTGCTAGATTAAGTAAAATAAAATGGTAGTATCAGCTATAACATACCTATTAGAGTCTCATGGCGTACTGGACGCTAGAGATTCACTTATGGTCTAAATATTCAAAACCTCTGCCCTCTTGGGTATTTACTTGAGAGGTATCTAGATTCTAAAATCAGAGAAAAATTAGTTTTAATTATCACACCATGGTAACATTCCAGAATAACTTTCTCTAGTTGAGTTTTCTAAGACAATAGATATATTCTATATCATGGCTAGCTTCCAGTACCTATTGAGCATATGAAATTTGGCCAGTGAAAGTGAGGAATCAAATATTTAATTTTACTTAATTTTACTTAATTAAAATAACCAGGTAAAGCACAATTTTTAACCTAGCTTTAAGGGAATCTGTTAATATCTTCAAATGGATAAAAATTGTTTTGTGTTGATTATGGCATTTTAGTGAGAAGAAATTCATCCTTTTTCAAAATCTCAAATATTAATGGATCATTATAGAATTAGGAGCCAATGACATTTTTACTGATAAATGTAATACCAGAATATTAATTTTTATAGTGAAGAAAAAACATAAAGCAAAATTGATTTTCCAGCTTTTTCATGTTCTTGTGTCACTATAACTGAAATTTGTGTGAGTGCTAAAACAGTTATGGATTGTACATTGTTTTTCTGAATTACATTACACTGATTTCTTACATATAATATCTCATTTAATTTGTTCAACAACCTTGAGAAGTAACTGTTATTGTCTTTATTTCATTTAAGGAAAAATAGATTTATCATGGTTAAGCAATTTTCCACCAGTGAAAAGATCAATTAGATGATAGAACCAGAATTTGCTATGTATGTGTAACTCTTAGGTCTATGCTTGCTCCCTTTGTAGTTTGCTGTTTTCTCACTATTATATTCAACTGATGCTTATAAGTACAAAACTTATTAGACATGTATGTTCTAAAAGAGATCTAAATTTTATCAGTTTTTATATTTATAACAGTTTTGACATAATCCAATTTAATAAAATTTAGTAAATGTTTTGTTATTTTTGAGGAGCTGATAGATGGTTTTTATGTAACAGAAATAACAAATTTTTTTTTCTTCTCAAGCTATTTTGATCCATGATTTTTTTTTTAAAGATTAATTTATGCATGTGAATGAGTTACAGAGATCTGAACCAGGCTGAAGTCAGGAGCCAGGGCACTCATCAGAGTCTACCACATAGGTTCAGGGGCCCAGGTTCTTCCACTGCTTTCAGTAGGGAGTTGGATGGGAAGAGGCGATGCTGGGACTGTCAATAATGGTGTTTTTATTAGTTTTTTTCTCTCACTGATTGGCTGTAACACTTAGTCCACTATATGTTTTAATCATTACCCTCTATTTTGTCCTAGATGGCTTGCCAGTGTATATGGTGGTGTTAATAACCCAACCCCTGTTATCCTAGAAAACACATTTTATGCTTTTGGTTAATTTTCTGTATATCAAGTACATAATGATAAGACCACATAAAAATGCATGGAAAAATAGAATTCAAGAACAAGTTTATTTTTGATGCAAACCAAACTGAAATCTCTGCATAATTTTATCATAATATACATTTTAAGGGAACTTTTTGAAGATTCTATATAATGATTGGTCATAAATTTTGTTTTAAGATTAGCATTTGCTCCTTGAGAGCAGTGAGAGAACACTAAATTTAGACTTTTATTTAAAATATAGACAAATGGGGAAATGCAAACTACTGAAAAAAGTTTTATGTCACTTTATTGAGGAAAGCAATGTAAGATACGCTAGAAATAATTGAGTTCTGCTTTAAAACTTTTATTAAACTTTCTTTTCTATATAATCTGCTGGAAGGACTTTAGGAATACTAACCATACATTTTAGAAAAAGAATGATGCATCAAGTTTAACTAAATCATTTGAGATTCATCTTCTCTTTTGAATTATTGACATTTTAATATTATGATGCCTTCATTATTGAAACCCGTTTCTATATTTCTAGTAATAAGATAAACTTTGTTAAGTGATACTTGCTGATCTATATATTTGCATACTACTATATTTTTATAAGAACTTTCACTGAATTCTTAGATAATTGTTTAAGATGATTTGTTCATTTGTTCTGTTTTGCTTCTTGAAATCCATTCAGAATTCTTTATTTTTTATACTTTCCCATGTATTAAACGTTGCCTCAGATGTTTCTTTTTTTTTTTTAACATATATTTATTGCTATTGGAAAGGCAACTTTGCAGAGAGCAGAGAGAAGGATCCCTATCCACTGGTTCATTCTTCAAATGACCACAATGGCCAGAGAAGAGCCCAAATGAAGCCCGGAATCAGGAACCTTCTCCTGGTTCCCACATACAAGTATGGGATCCTAAGGTTTTGGGCCATCCTCCACTGCTTTCCCAGGCTACAACAACGGAGCTGGATGGGAAGTGGAGCAGCTGGGACACGAACTTGTACCAATATGGAATGCTGGCACTCACGGGCAGAGGATTAGCCAATTGAGAACAAACAATACAAGTTCAATTAGTTACATCTTTTGAATAAGTATAAAATGGTTTTCTTAAGTTGGAAACATTTCTGTTTTAAGCTGTTTATTTTTAAAAAATATTTATTTTTATTGCAAAGCCAAATATACAGAGAGGAGGAAAGACAGAGAGGAGGAAAGACAGAGAGGAAGATCTTCTGTCTGCTGATTTACTCCCCAAGTAGCCACAGTGGCCCGAGCTGAGCTGATCCAAAGCTAGGAGCCAGAAGCCTCTTCTGGGTCTCCCACACTAGTGTAGGGTCCCAAGGCTTTGGACTGTCCTCAACTGCTTTCCCAGGCCACAAGCAAGGAGCTGGATGGGAAGTGGATCCACCAAGATTAGAACAGGCACCCATGTGGGATCCCAGTGCATTCAAGGCAAGGACTTTAGCCTCTAGGCCACCGTGCCAGGCCTAGCTGTTCATTTTTTAATTTAAAGCATTTATTGCAGTAAGTTTATTTTCTTTACTTTAAATTTTATTTTTGTTATTTAACATACTGCTGGGGGCCCGGCAGCGTGGTCTAGTGGCTAAAGTCCTCCTCACCTTGAACGCTCCGGGATCCCATATGGGCACTGGTTCTAATCCCGGCAGCTCCACTTCCCACCCAGCTCCCTGCTTGTGGCCTGGGAAAGCAGTCGAGGACGGCCCAAGGCTTTGGGACCCTGCACCCACGTGGGAAACCTGGAAAGAAGTTCCTGGCTCCTGGCTTTGGATCGGCGCAGCACCAGCCATTGTGGTCACTTGGGGAGTGAATCATTGGACGGAAGATCTTCCTCTCTGTCTCCTCCTCTCTGTATATCTGACTTTGCAATAAAAATAAATAAATCTTTAAAAAAAAACATATTGCTGGATACTCACTGTTCAGGTATAGATACATATCTTTAATATATAAAATTCAGACTTAGATTTTAAAGTTTAAATAGCAGGTTAAAATATATTTTTATTTGCTTACTTATTTTTAAAAATTACTTGAGAGGCAAAAATAGAGACAGAGTGCTAGGCTTTTCTTGGCCAAGACCTAGCTGAGGCCAAAGTTGGGAAGTGAGATCAATCCAGGGCTTCTAAATGGCTGGCAAGAACTCAGTTCTTTGAGTCATGATTACTGATTCTCATGATTGGCATTAGCAGAGAACTGAAATTACAAGGTAGGTGTTGAACTCAGATACTCTCATACTGATGTAAATATCTTAAC